TGGAGAGCGGTGCCGCCACCTGGTGGCGACGGCGGTTGTTGTTGCTCATCCATGAACCGCACTCCATCGCCGCGCGTGCGGCCGTGAACTCTCGTGTCCTCCCGTCCCAACTCCTTGACGGCTCGTTTCGAAAGCGGCGGGTGCGGAGGAGCTGGGGCGGCGGCGCTGGCGGGCTGCGGCGGCGGCGGCTGTAGGCCCGGGGGTGAACGGGGCGGCGTGGCTGCGGTCGACGGTGGGGCTGACGATGGGGCTGAGGATGCCGTCAACATCGGCGGGGAAGCGGGCGGCGGCAGTGCAGTGGTCGCTGGTGCAGGCGGGGTGAACGTGTATGTCCTTGTTGGCGGGGGCGGCGGCGGTGCGGCATCGGCCGGAGGTGCGGCGGCGGCCGGAGAAGGCGCCGCGGTGACCGAAGACCCCCCCCCGATGCCCGGCACCGGCGCCGGTGCTCCCGCCCGGCGGTTGACCCACACGACGTTGTTGGTGAGGGCGAGGCGACCGGTGTCAGCGCGAAGAACGACGGCGGTAGACGTGGAGTGGTTGTTGGCGCCGTGCAGGTAGAAGCACCGCGCGGATTGGACGTCCGCCTTGGTGGCCCGCTTCACGCGCATCATCCCCTCCTGGAAAAAAGGGACGACGGTCAGGGGCGGCTTCCGGCCGAAGAAGACTTCGAACGGCGACTTCCAGCCCACGTTGGCCTTTGTCGCGGAGCGGTTGAAGCAGGCGGAGGCCCACAGCGCCGACGCAAGCCACAGGCGGTGTCCGTTGGCGCCGACGTGGGGGATGGAGGAGAGGTCGGTGTGTCCCATGGCGAGGATGCGACGTCGCGCGGCGTGGCCCCCCTTCATGGCGCGCCAGATGGCGCTCTCGACCACCGCGTTTTGCTTGGGGGTGTCGGGGGCGGTGTACTCGCACCGGATGCCAGCAGCGTCGCAGAACGTGGTGAACGCGGCGCCGGTGAACTCGCCGCCGTTGTCCATGCGGAAACACCCCGGGGTACCCATGCCGTTCATGTCGGCGAGGAAACGCTGCACGAACTTCAGGGTGTCGCTCTTGGCCCGCATCCCGTAACCCCGTTGCCACCGCGAGGCGCTGTCCACGAACATGATCAGGTACCGGGAGCCGTCCAGGGCGTCAGAGAACGGGCCCGTGAGATCGATGTGAACTTTGCCGAACGGTACCGCCGCGCGGGTACCACGCCGCGGCACCGGGGCACGCCTACCCTTGGCTTCCACACAGCCCACACACGGCTGCATCTCCCCCACCAATCGTACGCCCTGCTGCTTTGCCGTTTCACGCATCAGGAATTCATTGACATGGCCGGTGGAGGCATGGAACAAATTAATGTCGATGGTGGGCGTGGATTTTCCTACCGAAAACGGGGAAGCACCGGGGGCGATAATCGCCAAGGCATGCGAGAGGGAGGGGGGGGCTACGATCTGCTGCTCACTGCATTCTGTAAGATAACCTCTCAACACGTCCAACTCCTCATGCTGCATAGCAAATGCAAGGGGGGGGTTCACCGCAGACTCAGGGAATTCCAGCGCATCCGGAAAAAAATCACCAGGGGGAACAGAGTCTTTCGCATCCATCAATCCAACATCCAGAAACATGCTCATGTCCATGATCGGTAAGTCATCCTTGGATACAAGGGGGTTGATATCGATCTCGCGAAAATCAGTCGTGCCTACTGCAGGGGGAGTCACAAGCTCGGACGATTCTACAGCGGCCGTGATGACAGGCTGAAAGTCGTGGATCGTCGTGGGGACTACGTCTACGTCAACGGGCTGAAAAGCACAATGCGGTGGCACTACACCGGAAGCGGTGAAGGGGACGCTGGGACTCGAAGGTACTACACCGTCGGATCCGGTGGGCTGGACGCCAGGAGTCGAAGGTACAACGCCGGCCGTTGCGACGGACTGGAAGCCGGTACTCGCAGGTACAACGCCGGCCGCAGCGACGGACTGGAAGCCGGTACTCGCACTCGCACTCGAACTCGTGCCCGCTCCTGCACTCTGGAAAAGGGAGGGGGCGGCCGCAACAAATCCTGTGCCAATGCTAGGCGGGGACGCTTGGGCAGAAACACGGGGAGGGGCATCGGGGCTAGAGGTCACAGTACGACCACTGTAATCCTGGGGCAATCGAGTAGCCCAAAGCGAGCATCCTACATCAGAGTATGCAAAGGAAAGCCTACCATCAAATAGGTGGACGCCGGTCTCGTCTAGAACGATCCGTTGCTTACGCTGCGTGTGGTGCAACGAAAACAAATTGAAGGTGATTCCAGGCACAACGTACACGTCCGACATTTGCACGCAAAAATCGCGCTCTCCTCCCTGGTCTTGCATGTGGAAAGCCATGTTTACCTTCCCAACACAATGCACGCGCAAATAGGCACCGTTACCTACTTGGATGTACTCCTTACCGGGCGGCACTGGCCTCAAGTCGAACATTTGATGGCTGCTGCTAACAAACGTGTTGGTCGCGCCGCTGTCGGCCCAAAATTGCTCTCTGCCAAAATGCGAATTCGGGTTTCGTGCAGCCAAGGCAAATCCACTACCACTCTCACGCTCGGTACTCGCTACAACACCACTCGGAACGATCTCGCCTGCAGACACGAAACGTGCCATCAAGAAGTGAAGGGAGCCCGGGGCCGGTGCTGCTGCTCCGGGAGGAGATGAGTAGGGCGGGGCATGGGTCGAGTGCTGCTGCTGTTGCGACGGCTGCTGCTGGAACGTCGGTGGCGGCGGAGGCTGCGGCGGTGGCTGTGGTGGTGGCTGCTGCTGATAGTATGGTGCCGGAGGCGGGTTGTACGGCTGCTGTTGCTGGGTGTAGTCCGGCGGAGGCTGCTGGTATTGTGGCTGCGACTGCTCCCAACCCCCATACTCGCTACTATTTGCGGGCCCCCCGTAGGGCGTGGCACCGTAATCATGGTGCATCACGTTTGCATGCCCGTGCGGGGGTCGCCATTGCTGCTGCTGCGGGCGAGGGGGGGCTGAGTTTCCATACCTTTGCTGCGCTCCGCGTCCGCCGTGGGGTCCGTGCTGGGGTCCACCACCCCAGCCCCCCCCACCGCGGCCGCCTTGTTGCTGTCGCTGCTGCTGTTGAGGACGAGGATGGTAGTACTGCTGTTGCTGAGGCTGCTGCGGCTGTTGCTGAGGCTGCTGCGGCTGTTGTTGTTGCTGCTGCGGCGGCTGTTGCTGTTGTTGCGATGACTGCTGCTGCCGCTGCTGATGCTGCTGTTGCGATGACTGCTGCTGTCTTCGCTCTTTCTTCCGCTGCTGTTGATAGCACTCCGCGTTGGTGTGGGTTCCATACGGATGAAAGCGACAGTGCCGTTCTCCTCTGGTCTCGTCGCTCCTGTTCCGACCGTCGCCTTTGCCGTCCTGTCCACCGCCGTTCCCACTCGACCCATTTTGGACACGTCCGTCGCCCCGGGGCGCACCGGAAGCGACGAAGGCGTGCCCCACGCCACTCTTTTGTTCCTCCTCCCGTGCGCGCACCAGGTCCGTGTGGGCCTCCTTCACGGAATCCTCTATCTGCTCAAAAGTCAAATCAGGGGTGCGGTCCAACAGTTTCTTCTCTAATTTGTAGTCGGATGACAGGGCGGACACCAAGTGGTCGTTGGCTTCGTTGTCGGGATACACTGTCCCGTGCGACGCTAGCCTACTCCGCAAAATAGAGAACCTTCCGAAGTATTCTTGTGGGTTTTCACTCTCATGCATCGCGAAGCTATGGTACTCCTTCAAGAGTCTCTTTTTCTCGGCTTTCGCTTGGGGCTCGTAATACTTGAGGAAAACCCTCCATCCCCCACTCGGGCTTCCGTCTGAGACGATTTCAGACAAGATCGGCATGTATGAGATTGACGTGATGAGTAAATTCCACGCCACTACAGCCTTAGCTACCTTCAGCTCGCCATACTCAGTCTTCAGGTCTACCATGCTGATTCCTTGCTTCCCTACTGGGATGTCCTGGTGGCCCATCACTACTTCGTGGACATCCTCCTGTGCAAACCGTGCTACCATGCTCGATCTGAAAATCAAAAGCTTCTGCTGCCTACTGTCCCCCGACTTGAACACACCATCCCAAGGCTCTATTCGTCTACTCTCAGTCATACGGAGGGTTGCAGGGTGAGGCACTGCACCGATATCCCCTGATGAAGTCTGGAGGCGACCGGCCATGGCAGTTGCAATCGCGTTGGCCAGCTCGTCTGCGGAGGGGTTGGGCGTCGGGCCCCCAGTTTCTTGCTGGTGTGGTACCCCTTGTTCCTCGTTCCCGCTCCGGAGATCTTGTGTCCTCTGCTGCTCGGCTCGATGCCGTACCTCCATCTCGGCCATCTTCTTGGCCAGTTTCTCCTCCATCATCTGCTCCATCCGAGCTGCTACTCTCTCGTTGACCAGTTCTTCGATCCTGGCTTCCTCCGCTGCTTGGCGGGCCTCCGCTGCTTGGCGGGCTTCATCTTCGCGCGTGGAGGTAGGCATCTTGACCCTGCTCTCGATCGCCGCAAAGCGATGCTCCTAAACCAAGCTCGACCGCGAATCTCGTAGACGACGTGTCATACGCTAGCGTGATCGATAATTCGGGTGGCTCGGTTCTTTTGTGGTTGGAGCTCAAAGCGGGTGGCTCATGGCGGAGCGTGGATGGGTGGGAAACGTGTTGAAAACGTAATGCAAAAGTATTGTATTTTTCGGGGGCGTGCTTGCGCTCGTAAATCTGTCACGGCATCAAGCACGCGTCACGCTCATCACGGTTAAAGTACCAAACAAACCTATCCGAATCTCCATCAAACTCTTCTCACTTCCAAGGAAAATGTCCAGAAAGTTCTGGACCCTTCGTACCCCATCACTGCAATTTCCGTAGGTATGTGTACCAAAGATATCCCGTCATACTATGCTACGAGTACCCCCAATATATCTAATACCCCCATGAACGGCATGTCAGTTGCCGGGGGTCGAACACGTCCTCCCCTGGCCAGTCCATGTTCGCCTTTTTCAGCGCGCGAGAGATTAGCTCCCCGGGATAACTCCTGTTAACGCCACGGAAAGGTACCTCAATCCGTTAGTCAAGTGTTTGTAGCCACGGTTAGGGAAGTGGATGGAAACACATTAGAGGTGACGCGGGGCAGATCGACTAGCCTCGTCTTGGCCTGTTATTCGAGAGGTAGCGGCCGCGAAGAACGCGCTCGCAGCTCAAGTGTCCACGCAGGGGTCCTAACCAAACCGCTTGACGCGCGCATATATCCTGCCTGCTGTTACAGTACTAATCGGAGAGGATAATGAGGAAAATGCCTCACCATGTTTTCCCGACATCCACGGAGCCGCTGACGTTGGACGCCCCGCCGAAAATTCGTGCCATCCAGTAATTCGCCACGTGAGAAGTCCGGAACTCCATCTGGCCCTCAGTTTCGCCAATGCCGTGTTCGGCGAGAAGTTCTTCCAATATCCCTTCCGCCTGTTACGAGTGAAGGCGAGCCCCCCCCCCGGAGAGTAGGATGGGAAAAAATGGTGAGGGATCGTCATCAGTCTCAATATGGGATCCAATCCCTAAGGTCGGGGAAGAGACACAGGCAATCTGGAATAGAAGAGGAGAGGTGACAGAGAATAGCTTGGTAGGCGCAGTTGGCAAAAAATAACAAGAGGAGTACACAACCCACTGGGTGTGTCAAGGTGAAGGTCGTACACGACGCGTTGAAGGATGTCGGAAACGACGAAGTCGAAATGCTGAAACGGAGTGTCTGACTGGGTCAAAGGGGGGCGCATATGTTTTGTTTAAGTAGAGAGGAAAACATAACATGACCGAACAAACCAAGGTTAAGGAGGTCTAGGGTGTGCGGGATGTCCATGGTCGTGCCATCAAGGAGTACCAACATGGACCAGGGGATGCAGGTACAAATTTAGGACTGGGGTCGTTGTCCTTCAGGCACATAGTCGAGGACATATTGGAAAGTAGATGGTGAAGGCGACAGCTTCACACGTAGGTGCGGCTACTAGTGAAAAGAGCGTGTTCGTGGACTCGATGAATGCTGTTGTACAAGACGGAGAGCTAGTAAGTTGTACTTAGAGGGGGGTAATGGTCCGCAGGTGACGACTTAAAATCTTGTAGTACAGTGGGGGGCCCTCTATAGTGCCGGTACGTGCGCAGGGCGTTCACCGGCACTATAGCGGGCACCGGCACAACTGGGAATAGTGCCTCAATAGTGCCAAACGGCACTATTCGGGTGATCGATATCCCTCAGTAGTGCCGGTCTGGCACTACTGAGGCACTGCTGTTTGAGTTCATGGTGTATCGCTTACCATTTGCGAGGCCAACAGAGTAGCATGTGGATCGAGTGTGGTGAATATACTTTGTGGGCGGCAGGGGCAGCCTTTTCTGAGACAAATGTGGGTTCCACTCTGATAGCTGAGTTTGCCGCGAAACCATTCCCGCATGCACGCGCAGAATTCACCTTCGGAGCCAAACCCCGTGTACAGCTCCCGTCCGTGCAACTTAGTATACTTGAAAAAATATCACGTTCCTCGCTCCCTCCCTACGATGTTGCGTGATGAGACACGCCAACAAAACCAATAAACGCGCCAGCAACGAAGCGGACAAAAATAAAACAAAACAAAAAGAAAAAAACTGCGGTATAGCTGTCCCCCCCTCACTCATCAACAAACTCTCTCATGTCTGTCTGGCGCACGCCCTTAGCGGCATGCGCCGCGATCATCGCCATCTTCGCTTTCGATAGGTGGAACGCAGCGTCCCCGTTTCCACTCTCCCGCGCGGCCACCTCCAGGACGCCGAAGTGAGAAGACAGTTCACCGTAACCCGGTGGGGCGCGGCGGCCGCCCCCCGTGTCCTCATGATCACTGTCCGCCTCATCTTCGGATTCCTCCTCGCGGCAGGTAGATAGGCGCGTTCCCGCTAGCTGTGCCGTCATTTCGTCCGCTGCATCCTGTCGAAAAGCCTCCACCACGTCATCGTCATCCTCGATGGTAGCCCACGCCTGAACTAAGTCCACCGCCTCCTCCGGGGCAGGCTTTCCGGGTGAGACGTTGAGTTCTGCGAACATTTCACTCAGGTCCTCGTCTTCGATGCGAGACCCCTGCTGCTGCGCGTCGTGCACGCTCGTGCTCAACGAGTGGACACTCTTCGTGAGGGACCTCAACGCAGGCTCGTGGATGCGGGCCTGGGTTTTCCCGTGGAGGTTGGTGAGCTCAGCCGCCATCTCCTACGGAAGCGTGTCGGCTTTGACAAAGCACCTGGTCGCGGGGTTGCCGAGAATACGAACCGCATCCGTTTTTGAGTGCAACGCAGATATTAGACGGACCCAGCGGCAGAAGTTGACTCATCCGCATGCAAAAAAAGAGGAAATTTTTATTTCAAACGAGGGATGCCCCTGCAGGAAACTTTCTCAAAAAAAATCCGTACCACCTCTGCCACGAAACGTGCCACCAAAGCTATTGTGCTAGCACCACCGCCCGAGTTGAAGCATCTACATAGCAACAGAACATGTTCAAACCTGACCTGGCGATGTCCTGGGGAGTGACGCTGCCCCATGCTTTCTGAAGAAGTTCAGCGGCGTCCCGTAGGTGAGGTTGGTGCCCCTGCGCCAGCCCCATCGTCCCGGCCTTCATCTTACTGGCTTTGGCCTGGGCGCGAAGGGTCTCAGCGACCAACATTGTGGATGCCTTGACGTCGAGCAGCTCCTTCCTGTAGAGGACTTTCGTCTTCGCGATGATCCCCATGTCCATGGGCTGGTGCAGGCTGGTGCAGTTCGGAGGATAGAACTTGATGGTAACTTGCCCACGATCATCAACGAGATCGCCGTGAGAGGAGCAGCCGTCCATCAGGAGCAGCACCTTTTCGTGCGTGAAGCGCCGAATGAACGGGAGGAAGACTTCAAGCCACCACTTGAGGAACGTCGCGGAGTCAGACCACGCGTTGGCCTGCGAGAAGTACTTCAGAGGTGAAGGCGCGTCCGTGAAGCAGCGAGGCACCTTCGACCTCCCGATGATGGCCATGTCCACCTTTGCAGTGCCGTCGGCGTTGCTGCACATGATGGCAGACATCCGATCCTTGAAGTACATGCTCTTGGAGCCCCGCGCCTTCTTGCGGTCCTCCGAGGAGGAAAGATACGTGCGCCTGGGCATAAGCTTCCACTGGATGCCTGTCTCGTCCACGTTGAAGATTAACCTAGCTGGGTACTTTTGATGAACCGGCACTATTGCGGGCTGACGTGGTGCCCAACCGGCACTATACCAGGCCCGCCCTCAATAGTGCCGTTTGGCACTGTTGAGGGCGCTTTCTGTGTGGAGAGATTTTACCGGCACTATACCGGCAGTTGGCACTATTCAACCGGCACTATAGAGGGCCCCCCACTGTAGTCTATGCGCGATGCTGTGAAAGGAACGAGACACGCCTTCCAGGCGGCAACGCAACAACCCAGCCTGCGTTAAATGACTTTGGGAGGGGAGCTATTTTCTGACGGCTACCGACCATGCACCCGCTCCCCCTGGCAGTGTGCTGTTGCACATGAACGGCGCGTAGGAACACGAGCAACGCCTACCTGCCTTAGGGTTAGGGTTCTGCGGCGTGCTACGGAGCATGGCCCCCCGGGAGGGCCCCCGGACCGCCGGAGAGATTTTGTTTTGGATATTTACTTGGTTTTGAAAGGAAATTACTTCAAAAATAGTGTTGTTATTTAAGAACGGCGAGAAAAAGGGCCCCAAAAAAATTTAGCGCCTACGGCGAAATGGACTGTTTGGGGTGCTCGGCAGAGTATACTGTCTACGGGGCCTCCGGGGGGTACGCGGATGAAATGTGTTGATGGACATGCTGCATGGCGATGGTGTTGCCTACCGCATGTCTCTCACTCTCTAATCAACCAAGGTCTTGAGTCAACCTTCTTTCTCTTTCGGCCTCTGACGGGCTACCGCACCCAAACACAATATATTGTATGGCCTGGTGTTGGTAGTGGGTATTGGCGTCTGAGCTGTGTGAGCCGGGTCAACGGAGCGGTCGACACTTTTCTTCTATATTTCTTCAAGCTGGGATCGCGGCCAACGGGGGCGAGGACAGCAGCATTGTGTAGCTGGTGCGGTGGCCATTGCGGGGACCGGGACAGCAGGTTTTATAGCTGGGACAGCACTTCGAGGCTGGGACAGCAGGTTTAGGGTTTTAGTTAGATATGTCGGATGGTGGGGATACGGAGGATATTGCAGCTGTGCGCGCGAGGCTGGATGAGGCGCTGCGAGCTATAGAGGCTGCTAAGGCTGAGACGGCGGAGGTTCGGGCAGCACAGCAGCAGTCGGCGGGTGCACCTGCCGGCAGCCCAGGAGGCGACGGTCTAGTTGCTACTGGAGGGGCTCCATCTGCATCGGTGGGGCCGACGGGGCCAGGTGGGGTGAGTCATGGTGGTGGTACTGGTGTGCCGGGTTTGCCTTTGGGAGGTACCATTGTCAGAACTCCTGTGCCTAGACTCCCGTCAAATTGCACCGCCGACGCTTTTCTTAGTTGGCGGAGACGGTTCCGGGTCTACGCGGACAACCATGATCTCCTGCATACCATCGCCGGCAGTGCTGAGGTTCCCGTTGTGAGTTGTCAAGACGTCGGATACCTGACTCGCCAGTTCGGCCCAAAGCTTGTTGGTGAGCACAAGAGGATGTGGGGTTATATCTTGGAGGCAGCGGTGGGGGCCCCATTTGAGAACACCCTGTACTCTTGCCATTCCGTGGCCGATGCGTGGAGGATGATGGAGGATTGGTTTTTGCCGAACCACCCAGCCGATTGTCAGCTTCTTGTCGCCGAGCTTGACAACATCACAATGAAGGATGATGAAGACCCAAAGGTATTCTTCTCGCGTGTTGCACAAGTTGCGGGCTGTGGGCATTGTCAAGAGTGAGCTGGAGGTTGTGCAGATTCTCATCCGTCAACTCCCTGCACGCTATGATGTCGAGAAGCGCAGTAGCCTTTCCAAGCGTGATCTAACCCGCGCTGAGCTGCAGGACGTCGTGCGTGGTCGGTATGCTACGCTCAAGGCTAGCGAGATGAGGTCGGCGGCTGTGACACCGGCGGTTTCCGCCAACCCGCATGCTCTTGTTGTTGGCCGTGGTTTTGGGCACGGCGGCAACGGGGGGGGCGGGGGGGGCGGAGGCCAACGGCGGAATGGTAACAGCGGCGACGGCCGCGGGCAATATTGGTCCTCTGGGGGAGCTGGTGCCCAACAGCAGCAGCAACCGCAGCAACAGCAACAGCCGCAGTCGCAGATGCAACAGTACCGACAGCCGCAGCAGCCGCAGCGGCAAATGCAACAACCGTACCAACAACCGCAGCAGCAGATGCGACAGCAACAGCCGTACCAACAGCACTCGCAGATGCAGCCGTACCGGCAGCCGCAACAGCAGTAGCGGCAGCAGCATCGGCAGCAGTAGAAACGACGAGGCAGAGGGGATGGATGTGGCCTGGTTTGGGGCACTGCTGCGCCCCTTCGACCCGAGGAAGCTGTGCCGGCTGAAGGCTGGGAGAGTGGGGCTGGTGATGGGGATGGACACCCCGTTCGACCGTGGAAAGATGTCGCGGGGGCAACGGCCGGGGAGCCCGTGTTCGCGACCGGAACAACGACAGGAGGATCATGAAGCGGGGAAGGGAGTTCGGAGGACCGGGCGAGTCCAACAATGACGGCAAGCAGCGCGACTTCTGCTGGGGTCTTAAACTCGCCAAGGCACGTGATGTTTGTTTGCGTATTATTGTCACTTTTCTGAAATTTGTTTTGTGCAGGATGCTGTTCTTGTGTTTTGATCTTCAGATACAATTCTGCATTTTTCCTATCGTTGGCACATTTGCAGGTTTGGATTTGTCTTTGTTTTGTTTTGCAGAGATGCCCACCCGCGTTTTACCTTGCAGGGACACTAATTTCCACGGCCAAATGGCAGGGAATCTCCATGGTAGATTCTTGTTTTTCTGGGAGGCAAATGGAATGTTGCGGCCGGGGGGCTGTTGTTTGCCAGGAAAATATCTCAAATGGCGGTGGTAGTATAGTTTCTGCGTACGATTTGTTCCACTTTGGTTTTTCCTTCTTTGTTGGGATAACATTCTCTATGATAGTTACCGCTATGTTTTTCTGATGGTACTGGATATATGTAAGTAGGCGTTGGCTTGGCGTGCGACGTGCTGGGTAAAGACGTTGGGGGGCACGCACCGTTTCTCTGTCCCTCCGATGTACCGTACCCGACGAGTCAATCCTTGCGGAGTAGCAATTTTCCTTCTCAAGTAGGCCTGTACGGCAGACTGGTATGTGCTGGACGTGTGACGCCTTTTCTTTGATATGTTTTGTTTTCTTGTTTCGGTTTGGAGTTGATGAAGTTGGATGCAGAATTGGCATGCTGGATTTTGCGGAATCACGCCTGATTGTTGCACTGCTGTCGGAAATCATGGGGGGGGGGATGTGATACCATGCTGTCCGCCGCAGCACAACCACTAGTGTTTCTGACATCGGGTTTGGTAGTTCATGTTGAGATTTTCCGTGTTTTCCCTGGGGATTTTATATGGAACTGATGTTGGTTTATGGGATTTGGGTAGTTCATGTTTGGATCGTTCTCCGCGTTTTACCTGCGGAGGTGACATGGAATTGAATATTGAATGGGATTTTCGTTGCGTTCGTATGAGATGGCCCAGCAGGGGGGCTGCTGGATTGTTGATTGTCTGTTTTGGATTTGTTGGTTTCTTCATGTTTGTTTTGGACTTGTTTGTTTGGTTTCATCGTGTTTGGGATGGATGTTACAGCAGGGGGGCTGTTGGACTGGTATGTTTGTCAAGGTATTGGGTATTGGAGGAAGGATTTGGCATGTTCTCGTAAGTCATGGTTGAAGCCTTTGTGCTTCCGATTGTTATTTGAGCTGGTCAATGAGTTGAAACATGAATGTTTATCTGAGGAATTTGTTCTGACTAAGTCAGGACGTTGGACACGTTTTCCCGGAGTTACCCGTCCCCGTTCTGACGTGATTCTGATGTAATGTGTATCTTTGCTGGGTATTTTTCCAAGGGTATTTGTTTGTGTTTTGACTTCTTGAGAATTTGGTAAAGCATTTTTCTCAAGAGGGTGAATTGTTTATTGACAAACCTTTTAGGAGATAGTTATTTGATATCATCAGAACATTTGAAAGATTTCGTAGAGCATGTTTTATTGGGAGATCGACAGATTTCGTAGAACATTGTTTTATTGGGAAATTGTTTGAAGTGGAATGAATGGTGGATGATTTCCGTTTGGATGCGTAGTTTGATTTATCGCCGTTTTACCTGGCAATGATAGTCGTGGCGGGGATTTCGTAGATCGTATCTCGTACCGAGCAGGGGGGCTGTTTGGGGTGCTCGGCAGAGTATACTGTCTACGGGGCCTCCGGGGGGTACGCGGATGAAATGTGTTGATGGACATGCTGCATGGCGATGGTGTTGCCTACCGCATGTCTCTCACTCTCTAATCAACCAAGGTCTTGAGTCAACCTTCTTCCTCTTTCGGCCTCTGACGGGCTACCGCACCCAAACATGGACACCCCCCCCAAAAAGAAAACGCCTACGGCGAACGCGTTGCGGGCCAAAATGTTTCGTTGCGGCAAACCGCAATATCCATCCAATTGTTGCGCTTCCGCAACTCCGCAACACCTATTTAAAGCGCTGGCACAGACCAATACCGATGCTGATATCCCTTCCAACAGCAACGACGATGTCATCCGTAACAATCTGTGTGTTTGTCTTCCTTCCCTATCCAGTGCTGTCTTGACCCTCGAAGCAATCATTGACGCGTGTTTACCTGAGTGCTTCCTCCATTCCTCCTGGCTCGAACCGCACAACTTATTTTTGTTTCGCGTGCGTGTGCCGGGTGTTGCTGTTTCGTCTGTGTGCGTGTCCGTGTATCTCTCGAAGAACGCCCAGGAACGACGGCAAAAATATCCGGATAAATGCCTGTCAAGCACGCGGTCATCTATTGTCGGAGCGCGTGAGGTCGTCTCTGATTTCTTCGTGCGAAAAAAAAAAACAATGACCGTGGTCTCCCACAGTCAACTACCAACAGCGGCTGGCACTGCTGGATTCGTGCATGGATGGATACCGCTGCTCTATGGTGAGCAATACCATGTCAACCTGTTGTGTGTCGAGCAAAACGTGTATTCAGGGAGGGAAACGTACTCTTGGCGATGACATCACGATTAGA